CCGAAGAATAGAACTATACCTGGTCTGTAAAGGATTAGTTGTGCACATATGGATAGCCTGTTTATGGTACAGTTCTTAATGGTTGAATTCACTTTTTTGACAATGTAATTGTCCCAGGTGCTCTACAAATCCTCTTCGTGTGAGGAATCCGCTACCTAGGCGGGAGGCTACGTGATGTGTTTCCACGTGGCACTTTGTTGGTTGAATAGAGGGTGACCGAAAAGTAACTTCCTGTTTTCAAATGGTTATAATTTGTCTGGACATCAAAATTTATCTCAAAATCTTATTTATCTCAAAATTTTTGTGTGTGTTTCTTAACGTACAAAATCAAGTCTGTTTTGTCTTTTCTCTTTGGATCGATTGTCTTGTTTAATATTTGGAAGCCTTGCAAACATGGTTGAACCTCCTACACTGTAACAGCGTGCTCACATGGCCGCACGTTACAAAGTTTGGAAATCCACCAGTAAACTGTAAAGATGGTGGGAAGAGTTGTCAGAAGAGGTTTGGCTCAGAGCGAAAGGCAAAAATGGAACGAAGTTATTCTTGCTCTCTTTCAATATTGAATCGCTACAAAAGCAAATCTGCACGAATATGGAGCCTAAGAAACCTGTCAAGATCCATAATATGTGCAGTGCCTACATAATACATATGTATAACGAAAGATATGTGACTTCACGGTTTATTGTAGCCATAAAAAGCCTCCTCAAATATCTCACTACTATGCATTTATAAGTAGGAGCCGGTAAACATGGAAATTCATCACAATCAAGGATTTACTTAGAAGCGTAAACCAGAAGAGTAATTTCTGCTTCCATTTGCTCACAGACATCCGGAAGGTTATGCTATATATAATACAGGCTTTTCCCACAACCATAGTGGATCTCCTACGTTGATTCTGTGCTGGGTCACTTATGTGCTACAATCTTGTTTGCACAATTCTAAGATTACTTAAAATCATAGATAACATTAATTTCACAAGACACTTTTCATCCTCGTGAACCCGTACAGGTGTTCCTCGATCACTTTGCACGTCGAAACCGGTATGAGTTGGTTTCCACTCATACCGTACGAAAGTCAGAGTCACTTTCAAAACTTTAAACTCTCATCTCTCAGCTAGCAGTAAACTTCACCGGCTAAAATAAAGCTGTTAGAATTTACAAATTCTTGTGAATAAAAAGAAGTGCTGCTCTAAAACGTAGAAGACCTTATTTTATAGATACGAAAGTCGTGCTTCCATCACCTCATTTCTTAAAATCTCCTTTTTAAAAAAAGGAAAGCAGGTGAACAAATTTTTCGTGAAGACTTAAAAATTTAACTTCCTTTTTATTTCATCCGCAGATTTAAATTGTGTGGATGAATGCATAAAATTTTTGTTCGATTAAGAACACTTTAAAGGTTAGGCAATAGCAATAGGCAAATTGCGATTATAACTAAAGCCCCAGCTTAACTGGGTTCGTTGCCGATTCGTGCTTTCCAGATCAATCCGGCTGACGGGTGATTGCTGTGGCAAAGATGGATAGAACTAGCTGAGAAGCAGGCGAAACGAAGGACCCGTATTGTGTGGTGGTGAACGCGTTACTTTCCGAAAGGCTAATAGCGCGTTCGTTCTCCACTGCAGACATCTGCGGTCCGGAGTTTTGCCAATATCTCAACTTCATTAAAGTTAGGCAATAGTTTTAAAAAATCACACCCACTTTTAAGGGCGCGTGTGGCGCAGTGGTTGGAGGAGCCACTGCGACACACACGTGGAATCGATCCACGCGCCCATGCCCCACCAAACCTTCCATCCCTCCGGGGTCGGCAAATTGATACCAGAGTTGTCTGGGAGGGCTCGATGTATCGGTACGCCACCGCGAGTCATTGTAAATGCCAGATATGCTTTCAATCTCCTCGCTCTAACGATACTTAATGAAGTCGAATGCATGGCGCATCACTCAGGGATTGTTCAATGTCGAGAGCTTTATCCTTTTCTTTACTTAGATAGTGCTAAGTCTCTTCTATAAGCCAATCATGTTTTAGTTTTACAAGTCCAATTATCGAAGCACTGTCGGCAATTTCCAGGATACTACCCTCAGATCCTAAGTATTAATGCACCGATTTCCCAATATTCGAGAACTCCTGCATCATTTTAGAAAACGACTTTGCTTTAACCTCAGCGTAATTAGTCAATGTCTTTTTTCATTGATAATTTAACACAACGGTGGTATAAAAGCATTTTTCGACTAACGCTTCTACGTCTAAACTTTCTTTAGTTCCTAATGTAAGTCAGTTGTTCACAGTCGTTCATTCTTCTTGGGCTATGGTTCTTCGTAGTCGCGTAGAGTAGAATCTTCTGGAGTGTGGTACTGCTCCAATGAAGCAGCTTCAATAGCATTACCCTTTTAAACAAATCGGTTGATTGATAAATTAATTGTTAATTGATAACAATTTCTTTCTCCCCAGACAGTCCATCCCGTAGGAGTTGGCATTAGATTAGTTTACGTGTAGCAAAGCAGTACGTTTATAAGCCGACTCTTGTTTTAAAAATAGCTAAAGCTCTAACAGCGTTAAAAAAAGTGCTTATGTTAATAAACGGGCCTTGACCAATTCTATATATATAGCTTATATCATAAAGAAGTAATCGCACTGAAAGTACATAATCAGGGGATAAGTAGCTCGTAAATTAGGATGCGATACTATTATAAGATAGCCGTTTGCCGATTATGCGGTTTTAGTGGACCTTTCCTTAGCAAATAAATCCGTACCACTCTGACGTTATCACAGCAATGGTAGTGACGGATAGATATTATCAGGCAACGCATTTAGGAGAAGCATATTAGTAGCAAACGAAGCTTTCAAATTTTAAATTAGGCCAGTTACAAAAGCAAATAATTGTTTCATGGAGTCCGTCAACGACAGTGAACGTTTAGATGTTTGAACAGCTATTGTTTGTACAAATATAGGCATGGCTTGTGATAATGAATGCCTAAGATAAGAGGACGAGATATCCTACAAGTATTAGCTCAGTAGTGTATTATTGTTTTTCGAAAGTATTAATATCATCGTCATCGGGGAACGCTCTATTCTGACTATCTCAAGTTTCCAGGAGGACCAACTCGATCAACAGTCAACTGCACTCATAACAAATATGGAACTCCTCAATCAGCAATCGAGCCAACACGCAAGGTTGAAACCTTTGTGGATGATGGATGGGAGGAAGACCAACAGAACAAAAGTGTTGCTGGGATCCTCGCAGTGGAGCTGGAGACGGGTCCTGCAGTTTAATCTACGCCCATGTTCTTTTTGCCTTTGTTCAGTAACGTGCGCATAAAGGATAAGAGCAATGGGCGTTAATCAGTCCTTGAGGACTGCCCCGTTAATTCAACTTCGTTCGTAACGTCGTAAAGGGGATTGAATAAGTGTTCAGTTCATATAATGACTTACGATAGCCTCTCAATGTATCAAATTCATGTTTTATTCCTCCAAACAAATCTTGTAACAATTTTCCGACCTTTGTGGGATCGAACGCTTGGTAAACTTGGTGATTAGGATGGAACCCAGCTACTGTAAATGTATTTCAGAGCACCTCAAGCCACTGCGCTATATCCGAATACAGAGTGCTTACAAGAGTTGCTAAGTGGAGCTGTTGAGTAAACACCATCACCCTCGTTATTTCCGTCAACCTGACGCGAACTTTGAAGCAAGTAAACCTCACGAATTATGTTATTTATTGTTTAATTTGGCTAAACCATTTATTAGAGTAGTGACAACAATAAACGAATGAAAGTACGAGAATGAATGCATAATAAGTACCCGACAATTCAAACCGTACTTTTCTATTCTGGTGTTTATATGTTATTTAGTACGACGTATTAAAAATAGTACACTTCTTGTTGAGCCTCCAACTTTCAAGATTTCTCCCACAATTTTTTATTATGACGTCAGCATGACTTTCTTTAATAGGCTAACAGCAAAAGGTCCAGTGCAATCTCTCTCATTAGCCACCTCGTAGGTGCAACTACGTTCGAAAATAGCTTCCTTCATTTTCAACAGCATTATAGCCCTTCTCAGAAAAGATACGGTTGTCATCTTTAACCAGTGTGACGTGTCTTTGGAGCACTAATCATTCATAATGTTTATCAGTGATTAAACATTCAAGAACGTGTTGCACACATGAGGCACAGCAGGCCCTAGTCTGAGATTCACCTCTGCGTCTCCCTTGAGCGCCCACTTTTCTCCTTTGTGTGCTATAATCTCTACGTTCTTCATTATTATCGGTCTTAATTGGGAACAATGAAGCTATTTTCGTTCTTGTAGTGATGTGTGCTCACTAAACTACCGGTAATACCATTCTTGATTCCTTTTCACGCTTTCCTCTTTAGACTTAGTGTTCACTATAGTATCCCATTAATCCCTTTCTTTCCTTAGTTCCAGTTCTTTAGTTATCATAAAGCGTAAAACATGCTCGTTCTGCTACGTCTGTGTTGAGAACCCAAGGCAATTCAGCGTTCTTAGCGCAACTCTTTCACTCTTTTAACAATGCTGACATGTCATCGAATGAAGAGGTTCTGAATGGAATGATTTCGGTTAGGCGTACTGCTAACTCAACAACGTGGCCTACTCACCTGGTCTGCTGCCGGGCCGCACTCGACAACGAGGCGTGGCGGAGCTGGCGGCTGCCCGGCGACGTCGGCCCGGGCTCCGCCCTGTTTGCAATTAGTGCACGTGTCCTATCGCGAATACTATACGTTCTCTGGTGTTATCTGTCATCGCGTTGACCCCGATTGCTGACTCCGCCCACGTCGAACACCATCACCGTTTTCTCCACCCCCAAGCATAGTTATTGGTTTGGTCGCGAACACCACCACCTATCTCTATTTCCTCATTCGGTAGTCCTTGCCATCTTCATTCAAGATTTCATCCCAAAAATATTAAAATCTGAAGGTCTGGATAGCCTTTGACCACCTCATCATCTCTGACAATTCAATCATCAATCTATCTGGTTCGCAAGTTGATTTTAGATGGTATTATTTACTGTGGAACAGCTCGAGCTTATTAGGCGATTACGGAGTACCGGTATATCGCCAGCACAAATCGCCGAGGTGATTAGTCGCTCCTTATAGTTAAGCTCCTACATATGGTTTTTAACGCATATAAAAAGCCCACTTTTAGGAGCCTCCTTATCCCGTCAGCAATTTTTTCTTAGATTTCGAAAATTCTTGGTCATTTCTCTCGAATCAAATCGAGGCAGTACTGCAGTAGTCAGTGGTGCAGCGGATGATAAAAAGAAACTGTTTCCGTAGATCTTGTCTACCTTGTTGATCGGCAAAGCACATCATATCTTCTACTGTTCTGCTATAAATTCTGTGATGAGTTTCTACTCTGGAGTTTTTCATGTGCGGCTCCTTACGTGATAATGTTTATAAGCCACTGTTAGGCTATCAAAGTACAATTTTTCATCACCGACCCTATATGCAAGCGATACTTTCCTCTTTTCCACATCAGTGTAATTGGTTCCACGTTAGGCCAGTAGATGGTCATGAATGTTAAACACCCTTGTTTTCACCTATTCTTTAGGATAGCGGTGACGATATTATTATAATGGACTAGAGTCGCCTTCGTGACTTGGTGCACTAAAAAGGGCACATCACGTGCCTTTTTTGCATGATTCAAATGTTCATTGAACATGGGCGACCTCGAAAAGTGCACCAACACCACCATCACGCTGTGTGTACGAACGGAATATAGGCAAAATCAGATCAACCGAACTTTAAGACTTTTCGAGAAATACCGTAATTGTTCGTATAATCATTAAAAATATCATTAGACGTGGTTAGTTATAATGGCGAAAGTTACACACTTGGGAAGCAACACACACGCAGGAACGGCTGCTGAAAGGATTCTGTGACTCACTGGAGTAATAGGGTAGTATAGGGGGTATTTTTCATAGCAGTTCGTTCGCGAATAACAAAGAAAACTTGATACCTGTAGTGATTTCAGGCTTTTCGACAACTCGAGCAAATGGACAGTTCGTTAGATGCATCTGCTCAATCGGTGTTTTTGTCGAGTTCGATAAACTCGCGAGATGACCAACGGCAATCAGAAATCGACACGTCCGGCCCAATGTTGTTGCAAGCTTTGCAGGCAGGGATATTCCTCCAATATATTGCTAATGGCTTTGAAGTGGTGGAATGGTTCTAGTAAAAGTATGCGTTCTATGTTTTATATAACTCACAGCGGTAACGTATGCTTAGACAAATCAGATATGTCGTTTGTAACCTCCATTCATGTCTGTTGTCGTCAGGGCTTTCCACAGAGCTCTATTCGGTTGAAGAACACAAGAACTGTCACAATTTTCAATGAGCCACTCTTTTTTTCACTGTGTTTTTGAGAATGCACCTGGGAATGAGAATGATTAAGAATGTCGGGCGTAGCTCACCGCCATAAGCAATAGGAAAGGTTTGCACTCATGGGTAGCTTATGGATTTCTCTTGGCATAGAAACGGGAGTTATCTACCAATAATTACCCCGAATCACACTCTCTCCACGTTTTAGTGATTTTTGCAGCCTTTTTGTTGAATGCATATGCATGATACTAACGCTTACACACAGACCAGGCGCATGCACTTATGCATGATTATTATTGAGTGTATGTGAACGTTAAAGGATGCGGAGGGCAAGGGCCATCCCTGAATCCTCCAATGCGATGGTGAACCACAGCCACGTTAGGTCTATGCTTCATCAAAAATCACAATTTGGCGATTTCCACCTATCCCTAGCCATACTGAGTTTCCTTAGTGACCCATGAGCTTAAATGTAACAAACATGGAAGCAGAAAAAATACGGAACATGTGAATGAAGTAGGCAGGACTACTTCCGGTTTTCTATCCCTTCAATTACTGAATTCTTATTTTTTTTATTGTTTTGTTCTTTATAAACTTTATAAATTATCTATACAAATACCGTATTACTTACCAAGTTGCTTAGTGGTACGAAGGAATGCCGTTTTTGGATGTAAATTGTGATTATACGATTTAAAGTCTTCGGTCATTGTGTTCTGTGGCGTAGTCAAAGAAATGTTATCAAAGGGTTATCCAGTAGAATGTCATCTGGTGTAGAAGTTCAGATTCGAAGTAAAAATTTCATTATTCCAGGCGCAGCCGCCGGTTCCCGTAACAATTTCGGCGTCGCCGTCAGAAATAGTCAGCCAGTCATCGGAGCAACTGAGCGTCCAGATTGTCCCTCCGGCATCCGTAGCCCCTCCATCCGAACCGACAACTTCGCAAACACCTGAGTCTAGTGTAAACGTCTCTGAAGCGGCAGCCGTTCCTTCCTCAACGGCACCATTATCTACTGCGCTCAGATATGAAAATAACACCGCAGGGAGACCGATACGGAGTTTACGAACACCTATGAAGGAAATAACCACACTGGACCGACCGGAAGAGCTGGACGAGTTCATGGAACAAGGCGAGGAAGCATGCATAGCTGACATGAAACAGTTCATCACACAATACTCTCTTAGGCAAACCACAGTTGCTATGATGACAGGTACAAGTATTTTAGTAAATTATGTGAGAATGAGAAAGCAGGCATAATGGTAAAACTAGCGTGTTGGTATATTAAAGGCAAGAGAGCGAGAAAAACAGAAAGGGAATAAGCATAATTTCTCTAGCGAAATAATGAAATCATAGTGCTGAGATGTAGACTTATTCAAGTTGTTCGTATAAAATGAAACTTAACCACCAGTTTTCTCAAGCTTTCTGGTTTTCTGAAATCCGGTCACTTAAGACGTATTTCATACGGCAATGTGGATTTTCTAACCTGAGATACGAACAAGTACGGCCCAAGTTAACTTGTTGTGGCATGGTTGAATATACCTGGACACTTGGATACTCGGTTGGCCCCTCCTCACTCACGTTTACGCTGGTTCCAGCATAATCTCCATTTTTTCGGAGTTTTCTGGTTTAGCTATCGTGGTTTCCTGGAGTCCCGAGGTCAGCCTAGCCAAAGTATGCCATAGGTCGCCACTACCACAGACAGTCTCCGCCCTTGTGGATCAGGGGAAATTTGCCACTATGCGACTAGTTTTGTACTAGGACGGTGGTAGCTCCCGGTATTGGTTCATTCTTAGCCAGGCTTCCTGATGGAAAAGCCGGACTCCTTCTCAGCTTGGGAGACCCTGCCGTGGGATGAATTTCCCGTTGTACATCGCAGTCCGACACCCGGAAACTCCTCAAAACCCCGATGAGGCGGTAAATCGTTGAGAGGATGGTTGATTGTATCCTTTTAAAACTGAAAGCATTTAGTTGGAGGTAATCGCTTGATTACTCGTGTTTGGACGTTGGTAAATATTCGAGCTTTCGAAGAAATCGATCTAATGAGGAAACAAGAGTACTACAAACACGAAATGGAAGTTTTTCTCAATTTCGGCTTCACCGTGAACATAGGCTAATGGAATTCACAGGGAATCACGATAAGTTCCCATAGGTAGATCGTTTAGACGAAAAAATTCACCCAATAAATTCTGACGAGTGAGAAATGGACGTGTTGTCATCGCTCAGATCTTATAGTATACAGAATATTATTGTGTGTATGTACAATATGTAGGTCGTAGTTGCCAGTGTGCGCAGATTTGTGAGGATAGGGTTAACCTACATGTGAAGTACGGTAATCGGAACATACTGTATTGCAGGCGTATCACAGCCGTATATTTCCAAATTACTGAACGGTAACCACCGTGAGTTGTCGTTACGATGTCGAAAAAACATCTACTGCTGGTACTTGAATTGTCGACGACATCCTCATAAACTTTGTGAGTGTTTCTAGTAATTGAAAATCGAAACATCATAAGTCATTGATTTCATGTATAAGTGCATTCCGTTCTTATTCTTAGGAGTACCACAGTATTTTGATTTCATATGAGCTTTTTCCACAACCTCTTTTGTAACTCCGAGGCATTCTACTTCTAAAGAGCTTCTGTCCATTAATTTAGAGTGACACACATTTTCCTTTAAGACTGCTCATTTATGAAGTAGACGAAATTCTCAAAGCTTTCTGTAACCGCTGATTTCTTTCCAAATGGACCCTCCGAATTCTCTAAAAGAGGCACCTTTGCTTGCTGACGAAGCACTATAGAAGAAACACTATAACTTGTTCATCAGCTGCTCCACCCATAAGCGCCACTATCAAAAGCATTTCGGCATTCCATGCTTCGAAACGGCTACGGAATAGAAATATGGATGTAGCACTGCACAAAAAGGACACCGATAAGTGCCTCAAATTTCTTCTTCTATCCTTTTTCTAGTGCTCTTGTAGCGCGGAGTTAGAGGTGCTTTGCAATAAACACGTGGTCATTGGATCAATCCTGTGTTTTGGGCTCTCCAAGTCTTTCATCCCTCCAGCACGAGGAAATTGATGGCAGCGTGAACATCTGCGCGTGGGCCACCGCAAGTCATTGCCTAGGCCAGAGAAGCACTAGGTCACCTCTAACGATGCTTGATTAGGGCGAATGCGTGATGTATCCCACAGGATTGATTAACGCCAAAAGCTTTGTTCTCTTATCTTTCTATCATTTTTCTTTGAACTACTAAAACCTTGACTTTGTTGATGGCGATCCGATAATATGTTCTTTAGCGCTTTCGTGAAGGTTTCCAACCTTGTCGTTACGCCCACAGTGTCCTATTTTTCCGTTTTTTAGATGTGTTTATAAAAACCTTCTCATCTAATCGCTGCCTAATCACTCATATTTCCTTTCACCAACTATAAGCGTGAAGCCCAGCTGTAGCAGTGTGCACTTTTAGTACGTAATTATACAGATACGGAGATCGAACATCGGTATTCAACCGAGGTTAGTCTACTAGACGTAGGGACCTCCTAGTTTTTGTTGTTTCATCAAGCCCATTTTTCCAGTTTTGGTTAAGTTTTGCCAATATGACTTGGCAACGGGCTTCCTATCTTGCATGGTTTCCAAGATACTTTATTTAATTTTCACGTACAGGCCTACATTGGAGTCTGGTACTTGTTCGGAAATTTTGATTCTTTTCCAATTCAGTTGAAGAATTTTGTTTTAATTGTCCTTTTCTGGCTAGCTCTTCTTCATCCTAAACTGAAGAGTTGTTGTCTAAATATTGACGACTTCTTATCTTATTCATTTTGTTTCATACGACCCGTCTCCACATCTGCTGTGCGGTTTCCTACACTTCTCAAATTCGATTCGTTTCCTCCCATCCACCATCCACTACGGTCATCCAACTTTTATGGATGGCTACGGTTGCTACATGGGGAATTTCATTTTATCTTGAATGGCATAGAATGCTGGTTATATCGATTCTCACTGGAGTCCTGAGACAGGTTATAGCGTTCCTAATTAGATAGCGGAGGGTGATTCATTCCCGAACAAGTCCGGTAGCAATATGCCGATCACGAGGGAATGAAGGGCTTGCTAAGCGCGGAGCGGGATCGAACCACCACCGTGCTCGTGATGACCTGCATTGCTATCACTGTGCTATCATATTGACGGTTGCTGTATATTTAGCAAAGTTATGAACTTCGAGCTTGTCTGAGGTCCTAGTCAAGATTTAACCCAATCTTCTGAGTAGCCATTTTTAATTAAGGATGTCTTTTGTTTGATATATGAATGTATTGGATTTTTCACCTGTTTGAAAAATAGTTAACACTGTAGAATTATGTTATCGCTAATGCTAACCAGCTATGACCGGCTTATACACCATGTTTCACTGTCTAACGTTAACAGTTATCGAAATATTACTCCATTCTTATCATGAATGTCATTCTGTAAGTTCACAAGCGCATTGATGAACGAGTTGTCGCACCCACTCATATGATTGATGGACGAGTTGTTGCGTCCAACTCGTCTACACTCCGTGTAAACTATCAGCAAAAAACTCACGCTCTTGTGTAGTGTGACAAACGCGTCGTCAAATTTTATCACACAAAACAACTAACCTCTTGCTTTCCTGAAACGGCGATCCTTTTCCATCCACTTTCACCACAAAGGAGAATCGAGATAACTCGGCGTTTATAAATTGTTTTCACTTAGCTCTTTTATTTCGAAACCGACTTTCCTTGAACCTCGGTATCACTAATCAATATGTATTCTTTCTTTGATGAGTTTACACGAGGTTGATAATTATGTTTATTTTCGGCTAACGTTTCGACGTCTTCGCCTTCCTCAGAGCCGATGATCCGAGTCGATGGTCCTCGCTTGCTATTCGTCTCGACGTGGCAGCTTCGCCTTCGTGTCGAGTCAGGTCTTCTTCAGTGAGCCATCTCCTCGAATGAGGCATCCTTACTCAGTGATGCCATTTTATACACGATGCTGATGGTGGATAGAACGAGAATGTCCGGTGATAACAACTTGTTTTTCTTCCGGACATATAACAAGCGAGGACCATCGACTCGGATCATCGGTTCTGAGGAAGACGAAGTCGTCGAAACTTTAGCCGAAAATAAACATCATTATCAACCTCGTTTAAGCTCATCAAAGGAAGAATACATATTGATTAGCTTTTTTACTTTTTTATGTCTGTTGACTTAAAAAAGCTGTCCACGTATTTATTCTCGTTTATGCAGTGTTCCACTGTATGGGACACGGATAATGCAGTGGTTAGAAGTCGCTTGCAATACCCAAAGGTTCTCCAATTCGATCTCGCAGCGCGTGTAAGCGATATCGCCAATTCGCCCTGGGTTGACGAGTTGAAAATAGACTTGTTTGGAAGAATGGAATCATTTGTTTGATATGTTGGCACAAGACCGTAAGTAATCGTATAGGATAGACATGAATTCAACCACTTCCGCGGCACTATGAATGGAATCTAATGCATGGTGAATTCCTTTATCGTTCATGTTGAACTGTTGAGATGTTACAGTGCTGTAGAAGTTATTCATCTCAAGAAAATGTAGGATCTTCTACAAGTAATGTTTTGTACTATTTAAATGTTACAACGCTATGGTATCTGAGAAGAATTTCTCTATATCCACTGTCATACGGAATGTTTCGACATCCATTGTTTTGCTATGAAAGCTCCTGAAAACGACTGCAACTTCTGTAAATGATAATTTTCCATAATCCATTGCTCAAAGAAAGCGCTCCTATCGATGTTAGGCTGGCATTTTTCTGCTCTCTTATAGCATAGCAATTCGTTGGCATGGATTTCTTTTCGGAATGAGGTGTTGTTCTTGGATTCTTATTATGGTCTATCCACGTTTCGAAGGAACTTAGGGTAGTTGTAATTTTAGCTGTGCCAAATAACAAACAGTAAAACAATTCTGCTGTGCCAATATTTCCGTCATGTTGTAGAAGCAGCTGTCTTGTGTTTTCAGTTCTTTTTTACTCCTGAAAAAACCTCCAGAGCTCGAATGATTTCAATTTTCACGGTGAAGTATTTGATAGCGTTTACTTAAGAAAAACCACTTCTCGAAGGCTGACTGTAACTGCTTAGTTAATGTATTGTAGTGTTCTATTACGTGGATTAGAAATCTGTCCAAGACAATGTTCCATTTTTCTTAGGCTAATGTTTGGGTTAGTTTTATACTGTATCATTAATACAATGGTGCATTGAAGAATTGTCATAGTTAGCAATGTACCTCGGTCTCTGTAGGTCCCTGTAGATTTCTCCTTCTCACAGATTTTACAGTTTTTATTGTCACTATTAATAATAAAACTTTTCTCTTAAGAAGTGGAAAAAGTAACTTTTTTAAAATTTCGCCATGAGTAGTTAATACTTTGCTGTATTGTTAGGATTTCCAGAAGTTGTTAAATGATTTATATTGTAGCGAACCCTCCCAACGGTTTACCGCCTTATCGTGGCTGAGAGGTGTTCGTGGGTGTCGGACTGCGATGTACAGCGGGGATTCATCTACCCGGCAGGGTCGCCCAAGCTGACAAGTGGTCCAGGATTTTCATCAGGAAGCCTAGCTAAGAGTAAACGAATACCAGGATCCACCGCCGTCCTGGTATCAAAGTCGCACGGTGGCAAATCTCCCTCTGATCAACAAGAGCTGCTACTGCCTGTGGTGGTGAAGACCTGGGGCAGACTTTGGCCAGGCTGATCTCGGGATTCCAGGGAACCACAATGGCTTAACCAGCAATATCTGAAAATTGGTGATTATGCTGGGGCCCACACAACCAGTGAGGACGGGCCGTTCAAGTATCAAGTAAGTACTGTAGCCAACATTTCACCTCTATCGCCTTTCTCAGGCCAAAATTGCTATAAACCCAGTCGGAAAACGCTACCCACTAAAAATTACATACGGATCTCGCGTGGGCATAGAAGCCTTATGTTTTATTTTATTTCACATGATCAAAAACCGCAAACATTGTAAGTATAGAATCACTTCATTCATTCCTTTCCAAACATCTATTGTCGATGAAGGTTATCTGATTTGCTTCTGGGCTCTGCTAATGCTTGAAGTTTTCTTTTTTTTTTCTTACGAAAGCCGTTGAAAGAGCGGAAGACTTGATTGGCGTAACAGCTCCATGATAAATTTGTAACTCTTTTTATGGTTCTGTGATGCAACTCTTAATGTTTATGGACCGTAATGTTCAAAGTTGTCATTAAAGTTCTTTCTTTAACACATAGTGCTAATTACTAGTGTTTCGCACCAGCACCTGATGTATTTGTGATTTAAAAACATTTTTCTTCAATTGCTAATCATTACGTGACTTAGGTGGCTAGTGGCGATGCTTCATGAGCACATCAAAAGTTGTGGTTAAAGGTGCTTTGTAGTACAGAAGTGATCGTTGGTTCTATCGTGTCCATCGGGATCACCAAGCCCTCTATTCCGCTGTGG